TGCTCTTTCGCGTCTTCCCGCCTCCCGGACTGGCTCTCCGGAGCGGCTCTCGGCGCTCGGCCACGCTCCTGAAACCGCTCTGCTCTAGCCGACGGCAGCAGGCTCCTCACCTGGCGTTTCCGAATGAACTCCGGCCGATGCCAGCAGGGTGGTTCGTGGAAGGGGGCCGCGCTGTCGGAGGCGAGCGGGCGCGACTCGCGTGGACGGGAAGGCAGGGAAGGTGGACGCACGGCTCTTGGTGCTTCCCCCCTTCCCTGGTCCTCCCGCCTGGCTTAACTCATCAGTGCAGCACACGCGTGCAAGGGGCATGCTCGCAGGAGGGGCACCGTAACAGGTTTTGGAGGATTAGTCCCATGAGCTGGGCTAAGGTTTCTCCATCAGCTCCCAAGAGGAGCGGAGCAGCCCTGGCAGGAGCAGCTGGTGGTTTTGGCTGCCTTTTGCTCTCTCTCCTCCCTGTGGAAACACCTTCAGTAGCGCAGCAGCGACTTGCGCTTTGGCACGCGCTGCTGAGGGCTCCTGGCGCAGGTGAAGCGTGAGCAGAAGGAGCAGCGAGAGCAGCACGAGGAAAGAAGAGTCAGAGCAGAAAGGGACGAAGTGCCAGGTGCACATCCCGCACAGGCCTTCAGAGTCATGTCCATGGAGATCCATGGAGGTCCCGTGCAACGTGCTCTAGGTGACCCTGCTTGAGCAGGGTCTGTTTGATCTCCAGAGGTGCCTTCCAACCTCAGCTGTTCTGTGATTTTGTTTCCAGACGTCTGTCTCCTCCTCTCCAAAACGGAGGTGACGAGAGTGGGAAATTAGTGCTTGGGTGCTCGTGAGAGAGGAAATCCCTCTCACCCTTTTCTGGATCAACTCCAATGTCTTCTATCGATGCAGTGAGCAGCTGGAGACTCCCAAATGCAATGCCTAGCCTGGGTGCTCTCTTGAGAGTATGAGATCCAAGTATGAGATCCAAGTATGAGAGTATGAGATCCAAGTATGAGATCCTCTGCCTTCTTCCAGGCTCTGCAGCTGCTGTGCTGGCTCCAAGCTGGGCTCTCCCAGGCCCTGGGCCTGCTGCTGGCACCGTCAGCAGCTTCGGAGGGAGGCGGCAGAAGTTGTCCCAGGCTCTTCCCAGGAAAACAGCCCCAGCGAGTGTCTTGTGTAGGGTTTTTGCATTGGTAGATGTGGGTGCACACCCTGCAGGATCAGGTCCTTAACTACCCCAGCACATTTCCTGTGGTTTCTTTGACTTCTGCTGTCCCAAACTGCTTGATGCCGAGCGCCCGCGCTGTCTGCGTCCCTGCTGGAGCACCCAGCTCCATGGTGAACCCTGAAAGAGCCGGGGGAGCTGGTGGGATGCCCTGCACCGTCCTCACCAGCTCTGCTGGCTCTGGGATGTCAGGTATCCTGGGGAGGAGGGCTCGCAGGGCTGCCCGCCTGTCTGCAACAGTCTCTCTGGCTGTGGAAGGAGAGGCCGGACACTCCTTTGGCTGGC